TCAAATCAAATCAAAGTTTATTTATAGTATAAGGAACACTTGATTAAAATGATAAGTTTGTTGTTTGGGAGATACGAGACGATCATTAAACAAGATAATAATGTCTGGCCACCATTTATAACTTATAGAGGTTTATTACAGGGAGACCCTCTATCGCCGTACCTTTTTAATTTTTACCTATTCGACTTAAACAAATGTTTCCTAAGAGATGAAGACGGCATCCAAATAGATAACCAAATCATTCATTCAATCTCATACGCAGACGACATTGTATTAGTAGCTCCAACGGCTGCTGCACTTCGCAGGAAAATTCAACAAATAACTGAATACTTGGAAAATTTAAAAGTTAAAATAAATCCCAAAAAATCAGTTATAATGATTTTTCGTAACGGCAGTAATTTACCCAAAAAACACATGTGCTTTTATATCAAGAAAGAAGAATTGAAAATTGTTAATGAAGTTAAATTCTTGGGAATAACATTCACGCCTAATTTATCATTTGACAAACAATATAAAAGCTCAATAACAAAGGCAAAAAATTTAATAAATAATCTGATAGTGTTATTCTGCAAAGCTAAAATCAAGAATCTGAGAACCCATTTTCAACTTTTTAATTCAATTATCATTAACTCGATGTGTTACGCATCTCCTATCTGGTCTACAGGTAAATTCAACGAATTCGAAAAAATACAAAATACTTTTATCCGCAAAATTTTCCAATTAGAATACAATATACCAGGCAGTGCTCTAAGAATGGAACTAAGTAGATATAAATTAAACACCATATTAATAAAAAGGTACATAAAATTTCTACAAAAAATTATAAACGCTGATGATCTAACAACAAAATTACTGAATGTGTTATATCAAAAATCAAAGATCACAGATCTAAAACGGAATTGGTTAGTACATCTCTCGAAGATATTTAACACATACGGATTTTCGATGAGTCTATTTATGGATCAGTCATACAACAGTGAACAGCAAAATAATTTATTAATACAAAGAGTAATGGAAATCTCTATTGTCCAAGATATCGATGACATACAGAAACGAAATAATACAAGCTGGTATAAAATAATTTTAAATTACCCATCAAATAATAGTTATATGCTGACAAATCTCTCATTTAATGTTAAAAAATTTTTTATACAGTTAAGACTAAACAAAAACTGGATAAATTTAAACAATAAATTCATAGACTACTCTCACACCAAATGCCCAAGCTGTAGTCAGACATTATCTAAATTTCATATTCTTTGTGAAAATTGCAGTGAAAATTGTAACATTCAACAATCAGATATTGGTCGATTAGTTAACTGTTCTAATGAAACGGATATGTATAAGTTCCTTGACAAAGCAAACATCAATATTATTTTTAAATTATATAATTATACGAAGCAACTTATGAATAAAAAATGCAGTGTTAATTACTAAATAATGTATTACATATTAGATAACTAATGTTTATTATATATATAAAAAAAATTTCTAATGATGGAGGACATATATCCTGTATAAGTTATTCACGTCCTTGTAACAGGCGAAAGCCTTATACTATAAATAAACTTTGATTTGATTTTTAAAAAATTTGTTAGGCTTAACATCGATGAAAATTCAACGCAAAGTTAATTAATAGCGATATACTAATATACTAATTACATGGGATATACTAATATACTATACTAATAATGTAATTTTTTCATTCTTTTCGATTATCTGATTTTTTCAGTTATCCGACCAACCCGAGTCCCCAATTGAGTCGGATAATCGATGCTCTACTGTAACTGGAGTTTTGGCAGAGGAGACAATTAATGTCAATTAGTTTCACTAACTGTACCATGTACCAGTTTACATACTGGTACAATACATGAAACCACTTTTGATTGATTTCAGAGTGAATATAGTTGTCACAAAAGTACTGTATAGCACAAATTCAGTTGTACAGTGTTAATTTGTGCCATGCAGTACTTATGTGTTGACTACATTCACTCTGAAAGCAATTCAAAATTCTATGATATTTTTCTCAGTTTCCTTGAAAATATATAAACATGGTTTAACTGTATATCTTATTGAGTACACTACTTGAGAAAAATGCAATAAAATCAGAGGATTCACTGCAGTGAGTAGCATTTGGTAGTTCTCCATGTTTGGAATGTCAGAAACTGGAGAAATATAGTTTGCTGATTTAAAAGTCATATTCGTTGCTCTAGGAATGGGTTAAATTAACCTAACCATTCATCATCCATAAAAACATGAATTTGTGTAAATCAATCCCAAACAAAACAAGACTCTTGTAAAAGAAATTTGTAATCCAAAATCATGTAAATCAAAAATTAATTATAGCCATAAATAATAATATTTTGTCAATGTTGATAGCTAGATTCCATGATAACTGTAAACAAAATTATAGTATTTTTTATAGGAAGCAAGTAAATTTTAAGAAATATTTAAAAATTTTTCTTCAATTAAGTTATAAAAGCATGTTCAAAAGAATTTTTATTGAAATTTCTTATTAACTTTTATCTACTTCCTGTAAAATAATAATATATTGCTTTATAATTATTTTAATAAAAATGATTTTAGAAAATAATAATCTTACCTTGGATTCTCTTTCTTGCTCATCCCACCACTGTTCAAAACTTTTAAATGCAGAATTTTCTACAATTTTTTTACATAAATCCCTCTTCATTATTTCCTTTAATTCAGATACAACAGTATTCAAAACACCTCGAACAGTAGGCATGTGAGGATCTTCTTTGATGGACTGCTCTTGATGCCAAGGGCGATGATGATATGGTTGTTGTGGATGCATGGCTGTGGTGGACCAATAGTTATTGCTGTAATAGTTACTGATAGAATTTTGCTGTGTAGGCACTGTATTATAGTTAGTTTGATCTCGCATATACATATATAAATTAGATCCAGGAGGATATGGTCCCATTCCTCTAGACATGGCTGCTATTCTAGAATCTTGCCCTGGAGCATATGGTGGTGGAGGAATTGAATAATTTCTAGAATGTATAGAATCTCTGTAACCTGGAGGAGGATAACTTCCATAATAGGATTCATAAACACCTGATCCCATTCCTGGTTTCCAAATACCCATTCTTGCCATTAATTTTACATGTTCACTTGGATACATTGGATGATTCATATAAGTAGGATGAGGTGCAACATGTGAAGAGGTTGCATTTAAATATGGTGAAGCCATGCTGGTTGATGGTAATGCTGTATTAATAGTACCTGGTGCATAGCCATGCTCTGGAACAGGATACATTGGTACATAGTTTGAACCAGCAATGGGAGGTTGTCTGTACACTAAATTTTCTTGAGTAGATTGATGAGAAATACATTGTGGCAGAGGCATTTCATTTACTTCAAGTTTTTCACCACCACTACTCAGAGAAGATAAAGACATTCTGTCATCATCATCATCGACATTATCATTATCTTCATTTTTGTCCTCAACTGTTTCATTTGCTTCTGTCGGAGGCTCTGGAGGTTCATCTCTAACTGGAGTAGATTCTTTATCATTTTGGGAGCAATTCTGTATATGATCATTATTATTCAGTTCAGAATCTGTTGTTTTCTTTTCATCCTCATTATCAATTTCAGACACATGTTTAAATTGTATTTCTGATAGCTTTAATAAATTCAATGATGATTTTAAGTCAGAATCATCATTTCTTTCAGGTTCATATAAGAAATCATCATTTTCAAGTGATGTTAGTTTTCCATTGTCAATGTCTCTAGTTATCTGAGCCCATTTGAAATATTCAGATGCATTCAGAAAAGGTGATGGTGGGGTAGATAGTATCTCATTACTATTTTCTTCTTCTTCAGGAGGAGGAGGTGGTAAATCATCACTCTCTGGAAGAGGAGGAATAGGAGATGAATCAACTGAAGGTAAAGGTGCTGCTGCTGCTGCTGCTGCTGCTGCTGCTTCTTCAGCAAAAGTCAAATCTTCAGGTGGACCCATAAGATTTTTCTCCCTTGTTGAAGTAGAAGAATCTGTATCAAATGCAGGGCTACCAAGAGTAGACCCAAGATCTAAAAATGCAGGACCTTTACCCTCAGTTTGTTTTAATAACAATTCTATTCTGGAATCTAAACTTCCTCTTAAGGGACTATGTCTGGATGATGATGAATCGGATTGTGTTGGCTGACGTTGACGACCATGACTAAATTTTTGAGAGTCCCAAGAAGGTGATGAAGTGTTGTTTTCCCAGGAAACCTGTTGTTTGATTTCATTCCTTTGAACTACAGATCTTTGTTCCCATGTTGTAGGTAAGGATGATGATGTTCTCTGATGTTGATGAACACTCTCCCATCGTGATGAATTAGAAATTCTGTTTGTATGAGTCATGCTTGGCATTCCTGGTTGTTGCTGAGGTATATGACTACTCACTAAATAACTACCATGTTTATAAGAAAATCCACTATCATAACTTAATGGAGTAGATTGATTTGATTGGTTAGATTGATAACCACTATAATCTGAAGGGACCGAAAAGCTCCTATCTGAATGTCCACTATAATAAGTCGTTTCAGAATTATATCCATAGTCCGAATGGCTAGGTGTAATAGTGTCACCTTTATAAGCAGCATGTTGATTAGGTATTTCATTATGTCCAACTTTCTGGGTCATCATGTATTCACTCTTTGAATTTCCATATTCATTATAATTTAAACGCTCTCTCTCTGTTAAGTTACTTCTTCTTCTTGGATCACAATTCTGAACCACAGGCCATCTTTCATTATCACTGGCAGAATTAGTACGAGGACGATTACTTACAATTTCTTCATATAACTGATTACACTCCTTTCCTAGAGATTAAACAATAAAACAAAATTTTTTAAAAATTTGTAATTCAAATNACAAATTAATATAAAAATAACTTAAAATTAAAGTAAAATTTTTTTATTTTTGGTCGTGTGTTCCCCTATCCCTATTTACTCTATGTTCATTTAGCATTTTGTCATTTAGGAATGCATCACCCGCATTAAGTGGGGTCTTACTGTACTTTTTTTTCAGGATGGAAACAGATTAATTGAATATCAGTTATTCATTATGAGAAAAATTGTTTCTATATTTGTCATATTCCATATTCGTTAGGAACAGATTAATTTAATGACAAATATAGAGGTTCCACTATATTTACCTTATTACAGTAGAGCAGGGATGGCCAACACGTAGACCGCGGTCGACTGCAAAGGTTTTGAAAATAGCCCACGAAGCTAAAGTTGAATAATTTGCTTTCACTTAAATTAATGTTTAAAAATCTTAATTCAATAATTTATTCTTACAATAATAGACTGTCTGTGCAACATACCCATACTGTTTGTATTTATCCCGATGAACAATGCAAATGAATGTTAACGCATGTGCATATAAAAATCCTAAAATTGTTTGCCCATATTCATAGTCGCCCGCAGACTATATTTTACCAAAAAAGTAGCCCCTAAGGGATAAAAGTTTGGCCACACCTGCAGTAGAGCATTGTTTATCCGAAAGCTGATCAACTGAAATGTCAGTTAACCGAAAGCATTCCAGTTGGACTGTGTCGTACTGAATTGAACATTTTTGATACTAGATTAACTTCCAAAATATAATTTTTTTCTTTTTATATTTTTCAATATATTTATTTTGTTTGTACAAAATAAAGAAATAATTTTTAATGATACAATAGCCATGATTATTATTTTAAAAATTTATGTTAGGCCTAACATTGAAGAAAATTCAACGCAAAGTGATACACAACAGAGAAAAATTTCAACATGAGATAGGTTAATATATTTTTCATACATAATTGGTTATCCGAAAAACAAGTTATCCAAACAACCCCAACTGATTCAGATAAACAAATCAATTGGGGTTCTACTGTATATTTATGAAGAGCAAGCATATCAAATGTAATTATTACAAGGATGGAATAAGAAGTTCAATTAACAATTAAAAAAATATTATAAGCAGTGGTATCATTGATTATATTGCATACTGACAAACTGCCATATAGCATTCATTATAAAATCATCATATAAATTCCATTTTCATAAAGTTCAGCTTCATAAGCTTTGAATTTTTCATATATCCTTTGACAAAGAAAACTATAAATTATATTTTAACAAATCTCACATATTCCTTTATTTTGGAACATTACATGACTGTAAACATTAATTATATCAAGTTTACATTAGTTAATTATAAGCATAATGTTCCAAAACTTAAGAAAAACATAATTAAATGATTCAGATTAAACAATAAAGCAAAAAATATCATTGAAATGCATTGTGATCTCTACAAACATACATAACTAAAAGAGGCATTTTTGTAGAGATCACAATGCATATCAATTATACTATTTCAGCAATTTGAATAAGTTATGATTTTGAAGAACAAAAATAAAAGTGAAGCCATTATTATGATGAAAACATAAGATGAATGTTTATTTAGTTGCAGACAGAAAATTTGCAGTTCAACACTTCTTTGTATCTACAGGGTGTCCACAGTCTGGGTACATAAGGATTAACACATACTTTTAAAACAAAATAATTTTATTTGATTCTAATATTAATAAATTACATTTTCAATATGATTTCCATCATTTTCAATACATAATTTGATGCGCCATAATTTGTGGACACCATTACCAGTCACTGTGCTGAAATCGACGGCAATACAGACCTATTTAATCGAGTTCACCTGAGTTTTGCAAGACGCATCAAATTATGTATTGAAAATGATGGAAATCATATTGAAAATGTAATTTATTAATATTAGAATCAAATAAAATTATTTTGTTTTAAAAGTATGTGTTAATCCTTATGTACCCAGACTTTGTGGACACCCTGTATGTCCACCCATCTATACCATACCCTATGTCTACAAAACTTCATCAAAAGAAAAATGGTTCTCTTGCTTCCAATACCAAAATCGATGATGCAACTCTCTAAAACATTTCATTTGAACTTTCTCACAAATAACTTAAATATGTTTTATTTTGACATTCTAAAACCAAAATGTTTATTCCATTAAACACTTCTGATTTATGTCCACATTTTTTTTCATTCCATGCTTGACACCCCAAACATTTTTTCAAATTTAAATTCCAAATTAACCCTATAAAAATTCTGCATGGTTGTTTCTTAATCCTAACAGAAGATTCAATAAATTTATTCTGTTAATTATTTAATCTTTAACAATTAATTATGTTTATTAATAGAGAGTTGGCAAAATATCAATGGTGGGTGACCTA